GCCGACCACCACCCACTGACCTGTGTTCTTACCACCTCACCCTCCCCCCCCCCCCCCTCCCTCCCCCTCCACACACATACACACACATGCCAATGGCTAGACCTGGCAAGGGCAAGAGCGAGTACGAGTATGCCTACGAAGAGTACTCGGCCTACGAAGAGGTTACCGCTGCCGGTGGTGGAAGCTCCTCCTCTTCCTCTGCTTCGGGTGCAGGCGTCGTCCCTACCCGCCGTCGCCGTCGTGCCGATGTCGAAGCTGCTGGTATGGCCTCAGACTCAGACTCAGACTCGGGCTCGGGCTCGGGCTCAGGCTCGGGCTCGGGATCCGACTCGTTTACCCGTGGCCTGCCGGACTCGCTTGCGCCGACCACCATCCGCATCCTCAAGTTCCTCAAGGAGGCCGAGGAGGAGATGAACCGCGGGCCGAGCGAGGAGCAGATCGCGTGGGAGGCCGAGCTCGCCGAGGACTACTCCACCTGGGGCTACCTTCGGTGGGCAGCGTGGAAGACGTACAAGGGCGCAGACTGGCTCGGCGGAACCATCGCCCACGTCACGGGCATCACCGCGCCCAAGTATCAGTACTACATCGATCACGCCATTCGTGAGAAGGAGGAAGAGGAGGCTCGTCGCCGCGAGACCTTTGCCGCTCGCTCTGCTGCCATGGCCTCTGTCGAAGGTGGCCGCCCTATCCACTCGGACGCCTCGGCTGACTCGATCGCCATGTCTTCGCACGAGTAGCCGCCACCACACACACGCTCTCTCTCTCTCTCTCACACACACACACACCGGCTCCACGTTCACTCCACTCCCATCTGCACAATAACACCCAGTCGCCACTCGCCCAGTAGCCACGAAACGTTGCCGTGACGGCCATCAAGCCGCCTGCCAGCCAGCCAGCCCGCTTGCAAACGAGCAGCACCTCTCTCTGTGACGCTCATCTGCACCTGCTCTCGTGGCATGTCAGCGAGTAGCCACCCACACTGGGGCCCCACACTACCACCACCACCGCCACCACCACTTTCCCCTGTCTCGGCTGGTACTCGTGTGCCACAGCCACCGCCGCTGCCTCCCGCTGGCATCCATGCCCGCCTCCCTCCTCCGCTCCCGCCAACCTCGCACATTCCGCCGCCGCCGCCTCAACCACGGACTCGCTATCCAAATGCTGCATCCGCCCGATGGCGGCAAATAACCTCGCGAGTCCGCTCCAATCACCACGCTCGTATAGCCTCCACTGCCTCGTCATCGCCTGCAACCACATCGCTCCGCCCGACTTCCTCCCGCTTGTACCGTACAGGCTCGGCCGCCTCGGCTTCCTCGTCCCGCGCTTCTGGCTGGATCAGACGAGCTGAACACTCGCCAGACTCTGTCGATGTGCTGTCGCCGAGCCGGAATAGTCTTTGGTCCAGGTCGGGCGGCAACAGCATGCCGCTGGCCTCGGACTGGCCCTCCTCGGACGTGTCGGACGCTGCGGGCGGTGGCGGTGGCGGTGGCGGTGGCGGCGACGGCGATGGCGGGTACCACTCATCGAGTGAGCTCGACGGGAGCGACACCTCTGACGTCATGTCTACCGGTGACTCTGAGGATTCGTACACCCCGGCGCCGGCACCGGCGCCCGGCCTGCAGCACTTTGGCGAGCAAGCTCGGATGATGTTCATCGAGGATGTCCTCGCCTCACCGGCTGTCCCGCCTACCCCACCGCCCGAGCACTACACGCCTGTCGCCCGCCGGTCGTACCGGTCGTCGCTCACGCTGCGTGACAACCTCGCCCACTGGCTCCGCAAGTCAACGCTGGGTCACGCCATGGACACCGTCCAGGTTCTCCTCTCCATCATTGCCGCCATTCTCTATGTAGTCGAGAGCTACTACACCGACGGTGGCCGCAACCGCATACCTCTTGGCTTTCTCGTCATCGAAATCTTCCTCGCCGCCGCCTTTGCTGTCGACTTTGTTATTCACTTTATCGCCTCAAAGTCGCGGCTCAAGTTTCTGGTCTCGCCCATGAGCATTGTCGACCTGATCACCATTCTCCCTGTCGTCGTCCAGCTCGTGCTTGTCAACCAAGTTGACTTAGGCTTCCTTCGCATTGTCCGCATCCTCCGTGTCTTTCGCATTCTCCGCACCTATCGGCTGTTCTCGGTCACCATCGACGAGCGCAAGCGCGAGCTAGTGGTCCTCCTCTTCACCCTTGTCTCGCTCCTCTACTGCTCGGCGTCGCTTCTGCAGCTGTTCAACGATCCAGGCTTTGCCGGCACCTCGCCGGTCATCGCCTGGCATGATGCGCTGTACTTTGTCGTCGTCACCTTTTCCACCGTCGGCTTTGGCGACGTCACGCCCGAGACACCGCTCGGCCGCTTTGTCACCATCGGTCTCATCTTCATCACCGTCATCCTCGTCCCGCTCCAGCTCTCCAACCTCGTTGCCGTCTTTACCAAGTTCAAGGCTCACGACCGGGCGTACTCGGGCCGCTACAAGCGCCATATCCTCGTCACCGGCACCTACACAACCGCCCAGCTGCAGGATCTGCTCTCGGAGCTCTTCTGCGACGATCACCCAGAGAACGACGACATCGACGTCATCCTCCTTCACCCAGAGGAGCCGTCGGCCGAGACGTACAACCTCATCAAGTCCGAGGCCGTCGAGGGTCGGGTCACCTTTCTCAAGGGCTCGGTCCTCCACGACCAAGACCTCGGCCGCGCTGCTCTTGAGGACACCGAAGCCTGCTTTGTCCTCTCGTCCCACTACTCGGCGCTTGGCATTGAGGACCGCAAGCAGGCCGACAAGCAAGCCATCCTCTCGTCCATCTCGCTCAAGAGCTACAACAACAAGACCCGCGATGTTCGGGTCCTCACCCAGCTCGTTTCGACCGCTAACGCCGCTCTGCAAGAGTCTGGTGCCGCAGACTACACCCTGTGCCCGCGCGAACTCAAGTTCAAGTGCCTGCTGCAGGGCTACCGCGCGCCGGGCGTGCCGGCGCTCCTTTCCAACATCCTGCGCTCGTCCGATGCCTTTGCTGACAACGCCTCGTCGGAGCCGCTCTGGCTCCGTGAGTATTGCACCGGCGCCCGCGTCGAGCTCTACGAGATCACCCTTCCTATGTCCATGCGCTACCTGTCGTTCTCGCGCGCCTTTATCTCCATGTACTTTACCTACGAAGTCGCCCTGCTCGGCATTGTTATCGACGACGGCACCCTCGTCCTCGCTCCCGGCGACTCGTACGTCATTGCCGGCGGCGAGCAGGCTGTTGTCCTCGCCGAGGACTTTGGCTCCAAGCACGCCGCAGAGTCCGGCGCCGCCGAACAAGTCCGTCCGTTCACCCGCCGGCCTTCGCTACAGGACGCCATTGACATGTTCACTCGCGGCGCGCCCGCCGGAGTTGTCCGCTCGGTCCAGGAGCGCTCGCACCACATGGCCCGCTCGCCGCATGCCTCGCCACATTCTCGCTCATCGGCTGCCTACGTGCCATCGGCGCTAACTGGCGCCTCGCCGCCGCCACAGGTCTCGGCACCGGGATCCACACGCCGCAAGCCTCTCTTCCCCCGCGACACGCATGCCATGCCGTCGGCACCTGGCCGCACCTCTCCCCAATCGAACGAAGACTCACCGCTTGCCGATGCCGCACTCGCTGGTCGCGGTGGTGCAAACAAAGGCGTCAACTTTCGAGACGACCAGGCCCGCAAGGCCAACGAGGAAGAGAGCAAGCGCGCCAAGGACGAGCAAGATGAAAAGGCTCGCGCGCCCGCGAGCGCTGGCTCAGATGCCACGCCAAAGTCCAAGCCAGACGAGTCCGCAGCAGGAGCAAGCGCAAAGTCGACTCAGTCGACCGCCGGCCAAGACACTGCTGCCAATGGTGGCCGCTACAAGGGCAAGGCCGAAGAGCCGAGCACGCCATCCAAGGCAACCGCTGATGGCGAGAAGCCGACCACGTCCAAGGACAAGGCCAGGGGTAAGAGCAAGAGCAAGGGCAAGAGCAAGGACAAGCCTGCAACTGGTCACGAGCAGCAAGAAGAGGAAGAGGAGGACGGCGACGACGGCCGGCCGTCGCGGTCGCCGGCGTCGGTCGACGGCACGTCGTTGCTGTGGTCGTCGTCGTCGGAAGAAGAAGCTGTAGCCAACGAAGTTTCACCGGGCCACGCCATCTCGGTTGTTGTCGACGGACCGGATCCGATTGCGACACTCGCATTTGTGCCACCCACCGCCTCTGCGTCGGACCTCGACGAGTCGGGCATCGAGCTCGAGGTCAAGGTTAAGCCGGACCGTGCCGGCAAGTCCCGTGGCGGATCGACCGGTGGTGAGTCGGCCTCGGCAGACTGGGTCCTCAATTCGGACGGCAAGGTGCAGATGCTCAATGCGTCGCAGACGGCCAGCGTGGCAACGCCGCTCGTCTCTACCCGGGAGGCCTTCCTCCGCAAGCGAAATCAATCGATCACGGTTGGCATTGCGCAAGCAGCGGCTACGTTGATGCACTCCAGCGGGAGCTCGGAAGGCAACGACGACGACGGTGGATTGCCGACGCCGATCCAGACCCTGCAGTCTGCGGTACAGTCCGAGGTTGTGGCCGAGGCGGTGATCGAGGCCGCGACCGAAGCGGGCAAGCTCCAGCATCCCCCCGACCTGGAGAGCCCGCCACCGGGCGACGCGCTCTTTCCGTCTCTGCTGGTCACCGGGTGCATTTCCGAAATCAAGATGCTGCTGAAGGAGGCTGCGCGGCTGGGCGGGATGCGCGAGTTTGGGCGGATAGCGCTGCTCTCCAAGGGCGCTATGGACTCTGAGCTCGAGGCGCTGATGGGCCTCTTTGCACACTGCTCGTTCCACCGTGGCGTGCCGACGCGGCCAAACGACCTGGCACGGGCCGGTATCCGGGCGGCATCGTGCGTCATCCTTCTCCAGGGCGACGAGGATGCAGACCTCGGCTCGACACTGGTCGACGCCGACTCGCTGCTCTCGGTCATGACCATCGTCAACTCGTTCGATGCGGTCGCCGCCGACGTCATGCCGCGGCTCCGCACGCTGCTCGTCGACCTCGCACACTTTACCAACCTCAAGTTCCTGGAGCCTATCATGCTCGAGTCGACCTTCCGCAACCGCATGCGGGTACTTCCGGCCTTTGCCGCCGGCTCGGCCTTTTCGACCGAGACCCTCGACCCGATCCTCCCAGCGGCGTTCTTCTCGGACGTTGTCGCTATGACGGTTGGCCAGCTGCTGGACGTACCGGTCGCACCACCAATCGCCTGCCGCGGCTCTGATGACGACTCGAGCGAGGCCGAGGCTGCCGACAATGACGGGCGCGACTCGCTCATTCCACGAGCTTTTCTTTACCAGATCTCGGTCCCGGTCCAGGTCTGGGGTCTCACCTACGGCCACCTTGTGCGGCTACTTGTCTGCGAGTACCACATCGTTCCCCTCGGCCTCTACCGCAACGGACGGCACATGGATGCGCCCGACGACTATGTCTACACCTCGCCGCACGAGGCCGTTGTTCTCAATCCGGGCGACCGCGCCTTTGTGCTCGCCCGCCCATCGCTCGTCGCACCCCTCATGGATCGTGTGTAGTCCTCTGCACATGTCTAGCTCGTCGGCAGGTTCCACGTCGTCTCGCCCGTCGCGGTGTTCTGGTAAAAGTACGTTGCCTGCGTCGTGTCGTAGTGGGCGGTCCAGCCGTTGGGCACTTGTGGCGCTGTGACGTGCGCGGCCGGGACCAGCGGCGAGGCAGCGGCCGAGACCGACGCCGGCGGACCGGTCGGGCGCTCCCAGCACGTCTCGCGTGTTGCTACATACTCAAAGTAGTACGACTCGCGCGTCTGTTCCCAGTGCACCACCCAGCCGTCAGGAAGATCGGTGGGGGTAGGAGGGCGAGCGGGGTTGGGCTCGGCTGTGGCAGGTGGGATGTCGGCGGGTTGACTGTCACCATCGTCCGCCCCATCTTCCGCCCCGTTGTTGTCGCCATCGAGAAGAACACCCTCGCCATCGAGAAGACTACCCTCGTCGTCGAGAAGTATGCCGTCGTCGTCGTCGAGAAGTATGCCGTCGTCGTCGTCGAGAAGAATACCGTCGTCGTCGTCGAGAAGAATGCCGTCGTCGTCGTCGAGGATCAGGCCATCGTCGTCGTCGAGGATCAGGCCATCGTCGTCGTCGAGGATCAGGCCGTCGTCGTTGTCGAGGATCAGGCCGTCGTCGTCGCCGTCACCGTCCAACATACCGCAGCCACTGCAGACGCTGTGGTGACTACTGCCGCCGCCAATCACGCCGTCACCACTCTCGTCCAGCGTCGGCCCCGAGCCGGTCTCAGACGACGCGCCCGACTCGGAGACCGACTCCGACTCGTGCCCGTTCAGCCGCCGATCCCAGCGCTTCCACTTGTCCACCGCAGCCTTGCGAGCAACAATGCCGTCGGGCGATGCGGCGTGCTCGAGCCTCGCCTTGAGCGTGCCAAGTGCGCCCGACTGCGACTTGACCTCCTGCGAGCGGAACTGCGAGAGGACCCGGAGCCGCGACCCCGGCACGTAGCCGCCAGCGAGGAGCTCCGACGACGAAATAGGATCGACGTAGACCCAGGCAGTGTCGGGCACGCCCTCGCACGCGAGAAGGACGTGGTCGCCCTCATGTACCGTCAGTTGCGCCGCGTACTCGGCGATAAAGTCGTGAGTCACCACTGCAACATCGCCTGGCTTCTCCATCGTCATCACAAGCTCCGAGGTCGCCGCAGGGAAGCGGTGGTAGAGACAGACGTCGGCCCATGCCTGCTGCTCGTCGTCGCCGGCTGCAACAGCATCAGCCTGGGTCTCCTCCTCGCCAACCACCCGCCGCACTACCGGCGCCGGTAGAGAAGGCTTGGGCACATGCGGCTTGCGCTTGGGCCGCGCCACGCCGTCGTTCGCCATCTCGATCTCACGCGCCCGCTTGAGAACCTTAAGACGGCGGACATGGCTCCGCTCGAGCTTGCGCAGAGCATCATCAAAAGCCGCACCATCCCAGTCCTCCAGCCGACCATGGCGGACCTTGGCGTGGAGCTTCCGTTTGGCCTCGCGAAAGCTGGCGAGCTCAGCCTTGAGAGCAGCGTGAAAGCGATCTCTGGCGACGTCCTCCTCCGAAGGCAAAACAGCGACGGAAGCAGCAACAGCACCAAGCCGGGCATCGATGGCACGCTGCCGTTCACGGGCAGCCCTCAGCGAGCTTGCTCTCTCGGCCGCCTTCTCCTCTGCCACCTGGATCTTGGCCAGGCGCTTCCTCTTGGCCCTCGCCGCCTTGCGAGCCCTCCGCTCGGCCGCCAGAGCCGCATCGGCTTCTGCCTCTGCCACCGCCTCCCGCCTGGCCAGACCATACACAGCCCGCCGCCTCGCCACTGCGTCGACATGCGCTGCCCTCTGTCGAGCCCGTCGAGCCAGCGCCTGTCGCTCCTCGGCTGCCGCCGCCTCCCTCCGCTCCTCCGCCGCCCTCCGTCGCTCTGCCCGAGCACGGGCTCCGGCAGCCTCATGCTCCCGCCGGGCCGCCAGCCGTGCCAGGGACGCCAGGTCGGTCGCTGTCTGCGCCGTGACCGTTGCAAGGGCAATCTGGTCAGACATAGTGAGTGCAGTGGCGGGAGGGGGTGGGGGTGGGGGGGGGGGGGGGTGGGGTGGGGGGGGGGGGTAGGGGTCCGTTGTGTCGGCTGACGGCCGACGATGGGCGATGGGCGATGGGCGATGGGCGATGGGCGATGGGCGATGGACGATGGGCAGCTGGGGATGGGCAGCTGGGGATGGGCAGCTGGGGATGGGCGACGGGCGGTTGGCCAACGGCTGGTAGAGGCTATGCTTTAACCTTAAACAGACTAGATGGTGCCGAGGTTGATAGTGGCAAAGTCCTCGCTGGCAGCGCCGGGTGGAGGTGGGAGATCTTCGGGAAGACAGTCGTGGTTGGGGCACTTGCACTCCTCATCCCATCCGGACGGAACGGTGCCGGAGAAGCAGTTGGGCCCCGGCGCGACGTGCGGCTCGCAAAAGGTGTCGACGTCGATGTCGCCGCCGTTGATGAACATGGCCGCGCTCGTTCCGTCGTCGTTGCGCGCATCGCGGAAGAGCGGAATGTCAGCACAGAGCGCAAAGAGCGAGCGGCAGAAGCCGGCGCAGAGGCGGACCGAGGAGAACCGCTCGAGCCAGAACTTGCCAGCCTCCGGGTGGCACTCGGAGCACTTCATCTGGGCGATGATGGCATGGCACGCCGAGCACTTGGGGTCAACAAGCTCATCCACCGTCGCCTTGATCGCCTTGGCGTCCTTGGCATCGCAGCAGCCAAACTGGGAGAACTCCTTGCAGAACGAGAGCTTCCTCCGCGGCTTGAACGGCTCGCTGTGGCTCGAGTCGGGCGCGCATCCGTCGCGCGGCGTAAGGAACTGATCCTCGTCCGCCGCATCCAAGCCGGTCACTCCCACGCCACCTTGCCCTCCGCCACCACTCCGCCGCATGTCGTCTTCGTTGGCCGGCCGCCCATGCGCCTCGGCATGACCACCACCACCCGTACTAGCTCCGCCGACTCTGCCCACATTGTTGTTGTCGTCGTCGTCGTCGTCGTCGAGCCACGAGTTAATGTCGCCTGCTGCAAGGCCTACAGCCACTGCAGCCAGTACACACGCCACCGCCCACACACTAACCTTGACTGCCATCGTCGAGTCTATACCCTTCTCCACACCCACACTCTCTCACTCCCCTCTGCCTCACCACTGACTTCATGAAACGATTTGTGGAGTGACGGGGGCGAGAAAACGTGTATCGGTTCTCTGACCGGAAGAAAAAAATTTACACCCCCACCCCCCACCCCCCTTCCCCACCCGCCGTCCCAACGGACGAAACTCAAACGGCACTCGCTCGCTCTCTCCCGCCTCCCCCAGCGACGACGACGATAGCGGCTAGGCTGTACAAGCCCACCCACCCAACCCGCACACCGCACGCGGGCGTAGCACTGCATAAGCATGCGGGCTACGACACGGGTGCGGTTTGGGCATGGGCACTCGCCGCCAACGCGGGAAGCTGCTTCGGCGGCAGAGGTACTGGCGGCATCGGCGTCGGTCGGACGGGCGACGGTGGCGAGCATGGAGGCGGCTGGAGGTGGGCGAGGGTATACCCGTGACGAGCTGGCGGTCATTGAGGAGATCATCACAGTGGCCACGGCCGCACATGGCGGATCATCCAATACTCTCTCGCTCGTCGATGTCCTCGCCGCCTATGAAACAGTCCTCCGCAAGCACCGCATCTCGCCAGCAGATGATACCCACTTCTACCGCTTCCTTCTCAAGCTCTCGCTCGATCCCGAGCTCGACTGGTGGTCAAAGTTTGCCAACGCTGTCGAGGCCAATGCTTATCTTGCTGCTCCTTCCCGAGCCTCCGGCAATCGCATCGCCGCAAGCCAGCTCGCCGCCTCGTCCTTCAATCCGCTCGCGGCTTCGGGCGCGCTTGCTCCTCGTCATGCTAGCTCGATGCTACCCATCGACGATGCCTCGAGCTATCCAGTCAAAGCACTGGCCTCGGCGTATCTCGCCCACTCGCCACCGTTGACCAAGGCTGCCGTCCGCCCGCGCGCCGCGCGCCAGGGTGCTGTCGCTCGGAGACGGTCGCGGATCTCGCTCGCAGACGCCCGCGAGTACGCCCGGATGAAGACCAAAGCTGCGGTTGTCCGTGCGTGGCGCCAGCGAGTCGTCGACGCCGCCGCTGCTCGCAAAACGGCTCTCGCAAACTGGGTCTCCGCTATCACCTTTTACGACAATACCCTCGTCGCAAAGGCTTTTGCCGGCCTCGCCCTCGCCGTCCAGGCCCGGCGGACACAGATTGCCCACGCCGACGTCTTCTACGCACACAAACTCATGCGCAACGCGCTTGGCGTTCTCGCCTCAGACGCGCTCGCCGCACGACTCGATGCCGATCGCAACTATGCTGCCCTCAAGATGTGGGCCACCAACCTTGCGCGCAAGTCATTGCACACCTGGCTCGTTCGTGCCCATGCCGCAGCACCGCTGCCGATTGATGCACCAGCTCTCGTCCGCGGCCTTGCTCGCTGGCTCTATACATCGTTTGGTCTCAACCTCCACGCCGTCACCCGCCCGCACTTCCATCCGGGCCACGGCGAGACGACGCTGGTCCTTGCCATGGGCGACGATGCCGATGCTGTCCTCGCACACATCCGTCCCTCTCGCGAGTCGCTCCTTGTTCACGGCACGACTCTGCTTGCCGCCGCCGACCTCGGCTACGCCTTTCGCGTCTGGCGCGCCCGCGCCGGCGAGCTCGCTGGCTTCCGCCGCGCCTGCGCGGTCCGCCGCGCCTCGGCTGCACTCCGCATCTGGCGCGCTCGCGCCGCCGTCGAGGTCCAACTCTCCACAGAGTCGGCTCTCGCCCGCTCGGTCTACCTTCGCCGGCTCGGCAAGCGCATCCTCCGCGCCTGGACCCGTGCCGCCCACTCGCTCGCCGAGCTCCACCGCCGAGAGGCGCTCTTTGTCCTCCGCGCCAACACCCGCAACAAGGCCTCCACCATGGCCGCCTTCCGAGCCGCCTACGCCGCCCGAACCCACAACTACGTGGCGCTTGCCTTCAGGCACCGGTCGATCCTCCGACGAGTGCTGCTCGCTTGGCATGCCACCTCGGCCGACACTGCGGTCGAACGCGCCGCTGTTGCCATCGCCGACATGCACTACGTTCGCAGGCTGCTCACCAGTGTCGCTTCTGCCTGGGCCACCACTGCTGCAGCTTCGGCAGCATACCGCGAGAACAAGGAGACCGCCATGATCGTCTACGTCCACAACAAGCTCGACAGCGCCTGGAGTCGCTGGAAGGAGGCGGCAGCGTCGTCCGCCCGGATCAACGCCGGCGCAGCCCATATTGCCACTGTCCTCACCCGTTTTGTCCTCTCGCGGGTTCTTCACGCCTGGCACGACGTCGCCCATGTCCAGCGGGCCCAGGCTGAGGCGCTCAGTTTGGCTGATCGCATCGACCGCGGCCGCCTCATTGGCGGTGTCATGGACCTTTGGCACGCACACCTTGCTCACCGCCGCAAGATCGCGGCGCTTGAGTCGGCTGCTGATGCGCATGCCGCCTACGCCCTCGTTGCCACCTCGTTTGAGACCTGGCGCTGGCGGCAAGACATTGTCGACGCCGACCGGTTCCGGGCTACCTGGGCATGGCGGACGCTGTTCCCGATCTGGCGGGCGGCGACTGTTCGCTCGCTGGAGGACGGTGAACTGGCGGCCGTCGCTGCGCGTGGCTTCCGCATCCTCCGGCTCAAGTCAGTCATGCGCGCGTGGAAGGCCGACTGGGCCGCAGCCCGTGCTGTGAACGCCATCGGCGACACTGTTGCCCTCCGCTCGCAGTTCTGGCGGCTCAAGGACGTGGTCACACGATGGAAGGCTCTGACTGCGGCCGCCAACGCGGTGTACGCCGCCAACGCCGCCGCCTTTGTCATCGCACGCAAGCGCATCTACCTTGCCGCCTGGCGCAAAGCTTTTGCCAAGAAGCGCGCCATCGCCGCTGCGGCCGCTACTGTCGAGGCCGGCTCGATCTGGCGCGCTGCGTCACGGGCATTCAAGTTCTGGGTCGATGCTACCTCGCTCTCGCTCCACGAAAAAGCTGTCGTTGACGAGTACCGTCGCCGCGAAATGCGGCGCATATTCCGGGCCTGGGCTGTCACCGCCTTTAATGACATCCACATCCGCAGGACGCTCGCCCGGCGCGAGGCTATCCGTGTGCGCAACCGCCGCACCAATGCTTGGGCTGCCTGGCGTGCCTTTGTTGCTCGTCGAAAGCGTCAGCGCGCGCAGCTTGCCATCGCCGATGCCCGCTCTGCAAGCAGAACCAAGGCCGCACGCTTTGCCGCCTGGTATACCTCCTATGTCAAGCGGACCGAGAACCGCGCCATGCTCCACTACGTGTTGGGCGAGCTCGAGGCGGCGGGCAAGCGCCGGATCCTTCTCGCCTGGGCCGCGGTTGCCTCTGCCGACGCTACCGACCGCCGCAACAACGCCGCCGCACTGGCGTCTCGTCGGCGTGCTTTGATGTCGTACCAGTTTGCCACCTGGCGGGCAAACGCTCGGTACATTGTGGAGCTCCGGAGCCGTGAAGAGCGGTACTACCTTCGGATCAACGACGAGCTTGTCCGTGGCGTGTGGACGCGATGGATGGCGTCGACTAGAGTCTCGCGCGCCCGCCGCCACGACGCGATGATGGCCGACAAGTACTACTTTGCCTCGTTCTTTGCGCGCTGGCGCCGGCGGGCTGCCAAGCACGCAACGTCAGCCGCAATGCTGGCGCCGCTGCTGTGGCGCAAGGAGCGTGCGCTCATTCGTGGTACGTTTGCACACTGGGCAGAGTCGGCCCGCCGCAAGCGCTACCTTTTGGACGTGGTCCGCGGCCTCATGGACCGCGCCGCCGCCGACAGACTCCGCCATGCTTTTGGCCGCTGGCGGACCAACACCCGCTCGGCCAAGGTCCTCGCCCATCACACGTCTGTACTCCACTCTGACTGGCGCCAGCGGAGGCTGCGCTTGACACTTCGTCGGTGGGCTGACAAAGCCCGAGTCGCGCGGGCCAATCGCGAGCTCTCGGCCCAGGCTCTCGTTCACCTTGACCGTGCGGCGCTGTCGCGGTGCCTCACTGCGTGGGCTGCCTATGCGCGCAAGCACGCCGACCTCCGCAAGCGCGAGAAGCACTACAATGCTGTTGTTGCGTACAACGTGCTCCACACCTGGCGCGACAAGCTCATCGTCGCCCGTGAGGTCGCGCGTCTCCGCGCCCGTGCCCAGGTGCGCCTCCTCTCGCGTGCTCTCCTGGGCTGGCGGCTCGGCAGCGAGCGCAGCGCCAGCCTCCGCAAGCTTGGCGACGAGTTGGCAGAAAGAGTCGACGCCCGGCTCGGGCGGACCATGCTCCGGGCATGGCGCGACCGCCGGCGCGACATCGCTACCACCCGCGAGCGGCTCAGCCGCGGTGCCGACATCCTCCGCAGTGCCTACCTCCGCCGCGGCTTTGAAGCCTGGCGCGCGTGGCTCGGAGCAGTCCAGACCGAGCGCAAGACCGCAGCCACTGCAGACGGTCTCTTTCGCGCCCATGCGCTCGCGAAGATGTTCGTTGCGTGGCGCAGCCGCCGGGAGCGGGTGGCGCATGCGCGCGAGACCAGCGCAATCGCGGATCAATTTGCAGCGCGGTCGCTGCAGGCACGAGCGCTGGCGCGCTGGGCCGGCTTTGCCCGCGCCATGGCCAACGACGCTGCGCAGGAGGCGGCGGCAGACGAGCTGTATGCCTTTCGGCTTCGCGATCGCGCCTTTGGTGGCTGGTTTGACGTCACACGGTGGTCGCTCGCGAAGAACGAACAGCTGTCGGCGTCGACCCGTGCCGTCTCGACGGTTCTACTCTCGCGGTATTGGATCACCTGGCTCCGCGCGTTGCATCTGCGGCGGCTCGAGGCAGAGGCTCGCGCGGCGTCCGAGGCGCGGCAGGCCCGTGCGGCGCTCGGGGTTTGGGTCGGTGCCACGGTGGCTGCGCGGGCGCGGCGAGCCGCAGCTGCCCGCCGCGACGCCGAGCTCAAGACCATCATGCTCCGCCGGTGGCAGAAGGTGACTGCCGTGGCTGAGGATGCTCGCGCTGTCCGCGCGCTGGAGATGGACGGTGTGTACGAGCTCAACCTGCAGCGGCGCGGGCTCGCGGGCCTGCGCGCTGCGGTGGCACACGCTGCATATGTGCGGGACGCGACCGCCAAGCTGACTGCATTGGGCACTGCTCGGGCGTTTGCGGCGTGGCGAGCCAAGGCGGCGCGGTATAGTGCATACCGCGCTGCGGCCGAGGCGATTCCGGTGGCAGCGGCGCGCAAGCGCGCTGCGTCGGCATTTGCGCTGTGGAAGGAGCGGACACGGGTTGCCGGCTCGCTCCGTGCGCGCCGCGAGGCGTTTGAGGCGCTCCGTTCGCGGCGTGGGGTACTGCTTGCTTGGGACGCCTGGCACTTTGCGGTCTTTGCGCCGGCCAAGGCTGCAGCGCATGCGGCGGCTGTGGGTGAGGTCAAGGCCCGGCGAGTGTTCCGCAGCTGGGCGCGGGTGGCACTGCACCGGGCCGAGGTCGCGCGACGCAAGGCGTACGCCGTGGATGCGCTGGCTGCGCGACAGATGGCGGGCGCGTTTGCCCACTGGCGCAAGTACACCGCGCTGCTCCGGAGGGTGGCCGCCAGGGACCTCGAGGCCGCCGGTGGGATGTTTGCCAAGTGGCAAGCGGCGACGAGCGAGAGGCTGGCGGAGCACGCGGCTGTGGAGGCGTTGGTTGTTGAGCTAGAGACCGTGCCCGAGGCCGTGGCGGTAGCTGCTGAGCGCGCGGTGCTGCGATGGCGGCGGGTGCCTGTGGCAACCGCCTTTGATGCTTGGCGGCAAGTGGCGGTCTGGGCGGTTGCCGAGCGCGCGGGGCTGGTGAAAGCCGCCGCCACCGCAGACCGAAACGTACTTGGCCGGGTCTTTGCTGGCTGGCGCGGCGTTGTTGTTGAGCGTGACGGAAGTGCACGGGCGCGGACGCACTATGGGCGGCGGATGGCCCGGCGCGTGCTTCGGGCATGGCAGTCGCGGGCAGCAGTCGAGGCGCTGGTCTCGGCCGACATCCGCACTGCCGACGCAACGTACATGGCGCGGCTCTCGTCGCGGGTCTTCCGGTTTTGGTCGGGCACAGTGTGGCGGCGGCATGCCGAGCGCGAGGCCGCGGTGCTTGTGGAGGCGACGCGGGCGCGGCGGGCAGTTACTGCCGCGTTTGCAGCTTGGAAGATGCGAGCAGCGGCCAGCGCGTACGAAGCCGCCGGAACCCGAGTGGCGCTGGCGTACCGCGAGACACGGCTGCTGGAGCGGAGCGTGGTCGGGTGGGCTGTGTACGCGCGGCAGGCGCGTGTTCTGCGCGAGCGCGAGGCCATGATTGTAGCCTGGCGTGAGGTGCGGACCGGGCGCGCGGTGCTGCGGGCATGGCGCGGACAGGCGGCGCTTCAGGCGGCGCAAGGCGCGGCGGTCGCCGAGCTCGACGAGGTCCGCGACGAGTCTGTGGTTGCGGCGGTGTTTGGCGCTTGGGCTGCTTGGGCGACGCGGCGGGCGTGGCATCGCCGCACACTGCAGGCGTACTACGCTGTCCGTCCGCTCAAAAACGTACTTCGGCTTGCGTTTGACGGGTGGCGCGCAGTGGCGCAGACCCGTGCACAGCTTGCCCGCGACACGGCCAAGGCGCTGGTCCACTACCGGACGCGGCTGATGGTCTGCGTGGTGGAGGAGTGGGCGGCACTGGCGGCGCGTCGGGTGGAAGAGCGGGAAGCGGCGCGGGCGTTTGGCGTGAGCACGCTCGGTGCGCGGTTCTTCAAGGCCTGGCGGGTTGCGCTTGTCGAGGCTGGGCACGCGCGTGAGGCTGCGGTGCGGGCCGATGCGCTTGCACGGTTCCGGCTCCTTCGCGGAATGTGGCTTCAGTGGCAGCGATCTGCGGTGGAGCGGCGCGTGGTGCGCGGGCGGGTGGTTGTGTTTGACAAGGCGCGCGCGACGCGGGTGATGCGTGCGACGTTGCACGCGTGGCGCGAGGTTGCGGTGCGTGAAGCCAACTTGCGCGCCCGGTTTGTGTTTTTGGCGAGCAAGCATGGGCAGCGAGTTCAGGTTACGGCGTGGACGCGGTGGGTGCACGCAACCCGTGTGACGCGAGTCGATCGGGCGCGTGTGGCGATAGGGCGCGAGCGGTTGGAGGGCAACCTTATTGTCCGGGTCATGGCGGTGTGGCGGCACGCGGTTGCTGCGCGGCGCGAACAAGAGGCTGCGGCCGCGGCGTGGTGGCAGGGCAAGGTGTTCTGGGCGTGGGCGTCGACAGCCGGAAGACTGCGGCGGCTGCGGGAGTCACGCGATGCGGTAGTGGCGTGGCGTGGACGGACGACCAAGGAGTACTTTCTGCGGCGGTGGCGGGCGGCGATCATTGCCAAGATTGTGCTGGCCAAAGCGAACGCAGTGGCGAGCCGGCGGAAGCGGAACGCGCTGAGGGCTTGGGCGAAGACTGCGCGACAGAGCCGAATGTTGCGGGCGCGTTCCGAGGCGGACGGCGCACGCAAGGCCCACAAGCTTGCGTACAAGACGATGCGGACGTGGGTAGCACGGGCGCACGTTTCGGCGCGGGCGCGGGCGCGCAGGGCCGCAGATCGTCGGGCGCTGGCGGCTGGGGCCTTTGCGCGGTGGCGGGGCAAGGCGAGTGTGGCCATCCGGATTCGGCGGTTGGAAGGGCGCGGGGCGCGGTACGCGCGGCGCAAGGGTCTTCGCGGCGCATTTGAGCTCTGGCTGGGCAAGACCGAAGCCCGGCTGGGCGCACAAGCTGCGGCAGAGGCGATGGCGTCGCAGCACGCCGTCGGGCGGGTGTGGCGGGTGATGCGGGCGCAATCGCTGGCGAGCCGTGCGAGTGCAATGGCGCGGCGGAACCGGCTGCGGGCGGCGTTTCTGGCGTGGCGCAGGGTCCGGCTCGAGAGCACGGCGTCGCGCGAGGTCGGGCTCGTGGTCCTCCGCGAATGGCACCGAGTGGCGTCTGTCCGTGCCAAGCTGGTGGCGTTTGTGGAGGCCAAGGCACGCAAGCAACGGGCGCTGCTTCTCTTTGAGCACTTTATGGCGTGGATGATGTATGTGCGACGGACGCGGCATCGCAGGTAAACGTAGCTAGCTTGGGAGGCGCAGCGTCGCGACACACAGCTTACTCCTCGAGGATGCCGCAAGCGACGACAACGACGGGCTCGTTGGGCTTGGTGGCGGTCGTCGGGGTGTTCTCGATGGTCTTGACCACCTCCATGCCGGAGAGAACCTTGCCAAAGACGACGTGGCGGCCGTCGAGCCAGGGGGTGGGGACGGTGGTGATGAAGAACTGCGAGCCGTTGGTGTTGGGGCCGGCGTTGGCCATGGAGAGCAGGCCGGGCTTGGTGTGCTTGACGTCAAAGTTCTCGTCCTCAAACTTGCCCGAGCCACCGTAGATGGACTTGCCGCCGCGGCCGTCGTGGGTGGTAAAGTCGCCGCCCTGGATCATGAACTGCGGGATGACACGGTGGAAGGTGACGCCCTCGTAGCCAAAGCCCTTCTCGCCGGTGGCGAGAGCGCGGAAGTTCTCGGCAGTCTTGGGCACGACCTCGCCGAAGAGGCCGAGCACGACACGGCCCTGCGGGCGGCCGCCGATCTCGATGTCAAAGAAGACCTTGTCGGTCACCACGGCATCGTCGACCTTGACCTGTGTCCACAGCGACAGCATGGGTGGTGGGGTTGCCAGCAGCAGTAGCGAGGGTCGGCATCATCGGTTGCCAGCACCAGCGGGTGTTAATACCAGCGGATGCCAGCACCAGCGAATGCCAGCACCAGCGGATGCCAGCACCAGCGGATGCCAGCACCAGCGGATGCCAGCACCAGCGGATGCCAGCACCAGCGGATGCCAGCACCAGCGGATGCCAGCACCAGCGGATGCCAGCACCAGCGGATGCCAGCACCAGCGGATGCCAGCACCAGCGGATGCCAGCACCAGCGGATGCCAGCACCAGCGGATGCCAGCACCAGCGGATGCCAGCACCAGCGGATGCCAGCACCAGCGGATGCCAGCACCAGCGGATGCCAGCACCAGCGGATGCCAGCACCAGCGGTTGCCACCAGCAGTGGTCACCACCACCACCACCAGCACCGTGGGTCGACATCATGAGTTACCAGCAGCATCAGTTGGCAACAAAGAAGCACCCAGACCAGCACACAATCCCTCCAGACTATAGTGAGTGCACAGCGGGTGGGAGGGCGGGGAGGGGGGAG